TATATATATATATATATATATATATATATTTACAAACTGATATAAATTAATAATAATATGTATTTTCAATATCAATAAAATTAATTTTATTTATTTTAATTAATTTATATAAAATTGATAAAATTATAATTAATTTTATTGATATGTTTCAAATAAATTCAAAATAAAATTTTCAAGTTTTGTGATCATATTATATATATAATGATGATCAAAATTAAATTTTTTACTCCGCAAATTAAGAATAAATGGGAATATAAATAAAACGACAATATATTAATTTAATGGATAAATCTTTAATATCGGACTAATAATGTTATAAAAATAACGTAATATTTATTTGAAAAGTTTGTGAATCTATATATTTTGATGTGATTTTTTTTTTTAAAAAAAGGTGATTGCGATTGAATTGCGAAAAGGAAATAAAAATGAATAAATAATTGATGGAAAGTGTAATAATTGGGGTGGGGGATGTGGTCAGAAATAGAAGTGTTTTTATTTTTTTTTGTCACAAATTCAACATAAATGGTTGGGTCAAAGGTCAAAAGGACAGGAATGTTAGGGACCAGGTTGTCTCTCCACCTCGTTTTGCCAAAACCCACACACATGCACTCCAACTTTTGTTATTTTGTATATTGTATTAACGTATTTGTCTTTTTTTTTTTCTGGGCAATTACTAATTACAATGTGGTTGGTCCAATTTTGCTGGTCATGTGGCTGTAGATTTTGCTCATTTATTTATTTTAAATTCCACATCAATTATGCATGCAGTTAGATCACAAACAATGAGTTTTAATCATATTTCACAGAATTCTAGAACGATTATATCTTTTTTATTATTGTTTTAGTATTATTGGATCATTTTTTTACTATCTTTTTATTTTAATTTTTCCCTATATTTCTTCTAGAATCAATAAGAATATCTTTTTCCAATTGTTTTTTTTTTCTAATTAAAGGAAAAATATTCTTTTTTGTTATTATACTCAAAATCATTTCAATTAATATAAGCACTCTCAAAATAATATGTTTTCTATTAAACAAAGAGATCGTAATTTTAATTGTAATTTAGTTTTCTTATTTTTGAAACAAAGAAAAAAATTATAACCCTTTTTTTTATTTCGATATATTTGTATGTTGAACATTTTAATTAATGATATGATATTCTAAATTTCTAATTACAGATATATATATATATATATATATTATATTTTAGAAAAATCAGTATTTATATTTATATGTAGTTCCTTAGATTACAAAGCTAAATTCAGAAGTTTATTTTTTCCAAATTATATTTGATTAAAAAACCAAATTATTTTTTGGCCACAATCAAATAATTTGAAATTGGTCCTTGCTAGACTCGAGTAGCAAATGGGATGGGCCATAAATACGTGTAAAGAATTTGTCAAAGCGCACATATTGATAATATGATATGTATGTTCACAAGAATACAAAGGAGAAGCCAAAACGGTGTCGTGTAGTGGGAGCATGAAGAAGACAAAAGGGGGCTGGCACGCGTTTCGTCGTGTCTGGGGGGTGGTGCGCCCCCACGTCTCACGACCCATCTGTCTCCGGTCAACCCTGCACGCTCTCACGTGCTTCTCTCCCTCCGCACGTGCTACTCCAACTCATGCTACATTTTTTATTTCCTCGAAAACTATATAAGAAAAGGAAAATGCTTTCTTTTAAAAAATTCATTTACTCCTAAATTCCTAACAATTACTGCCATTGTCGGAATATAAGTACAAAAGTTTCATTGTTTGTCTTTGGGACTTTTATCCTATGAATTTTTTTTTATTATCTTTATTATTCTTATATGGTATTCGATATGAATTTAGTTTTTATTAAAAATATATTATTTTTAAAATGAAGTTTTGTTTTTTTTTTTAATTTAGTTTGTTATTATTATATTAAATCCGATTCGATTTAGATTATTTTAAAAAATGTTATATCCATTTCATTTATGTACCAAATTTGTTTCGTGTACTTGTTATATATCGTGTTCAATTTGAATCAATTTGGTTTTGTATATTCAAATTGAAACTATTCCTAAGCTAGTATGTTTTTATATAACCATGTTACATATTATGTATAATTGTATACATGAGATGGAATAAAAACTATTTTCCAACTTAGGTTGGAGTGTTCATTTACAAAAGACCATTTACCTCGATTTTTTCATTTTATCTGGAAGATATACTCGGGTCAAAGACTTAATAGTTATCTTTTGAATTATCAATATATATATATATATATATATGAAAGGGTTTGTTCCGTAATATTGTTAATTATATTTTCTGGGTTATATGAAAACTATATCCATTTTGTTTCTGTATCTTTTTTTTTTTATTTTCTATTCATTTTTAACAAAATATTTATTTAAAAATAAATTATTTTTTAGTTATTTTTATATTCGTGATCCGTTAAATTTGATTTTAAAAATATTATATAAAAATAAATTTTAGATTGAGTTAAGAAAATGAGTATATTTTTTTGGTAACTAGATATTTTATATCAAAATTCAAAATAATCCAAATATGGAGAAAATTTATGTGAATATTTTTCTCTAAATTTTAAATTCGAATTTAGGATGAAATATTTGTTAAGCGATTCCGTTTTTCGGTTGAAATATCAAAATTTTAGTAAAAAAAAATATAAGATATGACAAGTATATTATAGATCGATCATAGAAAAGTAACACTAAACTTTCGATTGTACTACTCCTTAGATCTATCAAAATAAGATATAAAATTTAAAAATATGATTTTAATAAATAGATGAATTCTTATTTATTTATCTTTTTTACACTATTTTATTTGAGATTAATTTGATTACAAAATTATATATAATCAGATTCCATTCAAATATAATTATAGTTTAATTTATCGTTAATGGAAATATACACCCCATAGTGGATACACATTCTATTTCACACGATAATTTTATATAATAGATCATTTTTTGTTGCTTTTGTTTGCAAAAATTCAATGCCAAATGGTCTGTATAAAGGTCTTGTAAAAAAAAGAACAATGTTTAAAATTGAGGTTATCTATATCTAAAATCATGATCAATATTTTATGTAAATGGGCAAAAATAAAAATTTGTAACACGCCTTTAATGTGTGCACGGGCCGGGAGCATTTTTCAAAGAATTCACTACCGTCGGTCCACTAAAAGCATTTGAATTCCAAATGATATGATTTGTCTTTCATATAATTTCGATTTAAAGGTTTAAATATTAAATCGATTTTGATGAACTATTTATTAAATATTCAAGTTTCATGGTTAATTTTGTAAATCAAAACTCTCTTTCAAATAGGATTAGCATTTTTAAAACCTATACAAAAAGATCTTAAGGGTTATTAATATTTTTTTTAAAGAGCAGAAAAGAGGGGGAAAAAACAAAATGCTAACCGTCTTATTGTCGAAGAGTATTCTTCACAAACACAAAATGAAGGTAAGTTTTATATATTTTATTCGACGTTTTTTATTACAATTTTATAGATTTTTATAATAAATTTAAAACAAAATAATTTTGAGTAATGTAAATAGATGATTAATTTTTTTTATTAAGTTTAATAGTTGATGATTTTTTATAACAAATTTAAAGTGAAAGATTATTTTTAAAAAACTTATATAGTTAGTGATCTTTTTTTATTCAAAATTAATAGTTGATGATTTTTTATAACAAATTTTAAATAAAAACTTTTTTTTAATGTAAATAAAAAATTTGGAGGTTTTTTTGGATTTGTCATTTTTTTATAAAACTTAAATCACCTACCAAAAAAGTCCGGTATAAATATTTGGGTTAGGTACATTATTTTAAAGTTTAGGGCTTATTTTTAATTTAGCAAAACGATTGGGTTTATAATGCAATTATTCCTTTATTTTTATTTTCAAAACGATTGATTCGGGTTGGTTTAGCAATTGGTACTCCGAATCCTTAAAACCCAAAACCCTGAAAATGGCGAAGTTGGGCACTGCCACGCTCCGTCGCCTCCTCCGATCCCGGCCGCCCACGATTATTCCGGCGGTCGTACCGACCGGAGCTTTGTCTTGTTCTCATCGTCAGTACCATTGTTCCAGCGCAGCGAGCGATGATGAAACGGGCGGGAAATGGCTCACATTGCCTCCGTTTTCTCCCTCCGTCGACGGCGCCGCCGCCGGAAAGGAGTTTGCCTCCGGAGGAGACCCTGTGAAAAGGGTCTTAGATGGAAAAACGACGGCGCTTAAGTGGATTCTTCGGTGCTGTCCCGATCTCCCAAGGAATCTCGTTCAGAAACTCTTTCGTTTGAGACAGGTTCCGTGATACTTCGATGTCTTTGAATTCGGGTCGGCAGCAACCATGATTTTGGGTTCGAAATTTGTCTCGATGATTGTTTACAGCTCTGCTATTATCTTTGTATTGACAATGTTAAATTCAATTCAATTTTAGCGCTGAATCCACTATCTTTTGTTCATAGCTTAACCCTAGGTATCCTGTAATCGAGGTTTCAGTGCACTGGATGATATCTTGACAGATAGAAGCTAATTTTCCACAAAATATCAGATCGTTTGGAAAATTTTGTGCCAAGTATGGTGATTTATCAAGGTTTATGTTTGTGAATTATGTTTGAAGTCCCATTTGCGACATTTTTGGTCAGAGTTAGTTTCCATGTTATATAGATATCATTCTCTTCAATCGAATCAAGAGAGTGTCTTCTCTTTCATTCTACGTCTACTATAAATTTCAACTTGCTTCTAGATCCCATAATCTTCATTGAAATTACATTCATCGTCGATGTCTGCAGGTTAGACGAGAATCAGCTGTGAGTGAAATCTCGTCTGGTGGTGATCAATCGCGGAAAAACTATCTTAGAAGGGTATTTTCTTTGTGCATTTTAATACTCAGCATTAGACTTGTTAGAGAAGCTCTTGCATAAGTAGACATTTTTCCCTTTTTTTTTATATCTGATGCTTGATATCATTCGAGAAGGTTGCAGCCAAGGAGCCGTTGAATATAGGTGATAGGATTTACCTTCCAATCACGGTTCGCAATGCACCTGAAAAGAAAGAAAGCTATGATTGCAGTGAAGAAGAACGTAAATTTATTCAGGGTTTGGTGTTGTATAAGGTTTGGAAATTCAGTGTCTTAACCTATTCTTGTCAATTTTAGTAGACTATGAGATCTGATATGTGAGTTAATGTGTCAGGATTCAGCCATTATTGTCATGAATAAACCTCACGGTCTTGCTGTTCAAGTAAGTTTTAAACTGTTCCTGTGCAGTCATATATGGTTTGTACATTTTGATACATCATAAGTCTCTGGATCCTGTTAAATTTGATCAAGTTGTGAATCTTGAACAGGGTGGGATTGGTATAAAAACAAGTTTAGATGAACTCGCAGCTACTTGCTTAACTTTAGATGGATCAGAATCTCCCCGGCTGGTTAGTCATCCCAAAGCATCAATTGGATTTTCATCTTTTTACCGTTGAACCAAAAGAAACCATTGGCTTAATTTATGTTGATGATTATTTTCTTTTGCCTCATTCATATGAAAAGTACGGATCTTTTGCCTTATGCCTTGATCTTCTGCATGTTAGGTTCACAGACTTGACAGAGATTGTAGTGGACTTTTGTTGTTGGCGAGAACACAGACAAGTGCAGCACTCCTTCATTCTGTATTCCGAGAGAAAACTTCCAGCGTATCAGTATATGCAAGTCACTTATTCCCTCTCCCAGAACTTTCCATTTGATAGAAGTGTTTCACTGTTCCTTGAGAAATTGAAATAGTTGCTTCTCCGAAATATGTTTTTTCACTTATGTTTCATCCAGGGTGTCGGAAAGAACAGAAGAACGTTGAAAAGAAAATATTGGGCACTTGTGATTGGGCGTCCAAGACGTCCAAGGGGGCTTATTTCAGCACCGCTCAGAAAGGTCAGTATGATCATCATTGGCCCGAAAGTCCCTTCCGTTTGGTTTGATAATAGTTGTTGTTACAGAATCTTAACTCTGCTTTGGTTCTTGTGTATTCAAAGTTGATTTTGTCCAACATATTTAATTTCTTTTGTGTCAAATTAGCGAACTTAGAATCTGAACAAAGCAGCTTGGAAATTCACTCAGTAACATTGGATTAAACCACAAACCGTCTGATACACTTCTGCATTTGATGTGGATAACCAATGCATAGTTTTTCTCAGCGCTCTTATGGATATTTTGGCCCCTTTAAATTTACTAGAAATCCATGCTAGTATAGCATAGTGTTATTATATGATAAAAGTGATGAAGCAGTCCACTTCGAAATATGTGATTAATTTTCTTCAGTTAGTCGAGCTAAGCATCGTCCTTGCAATGTATGAGAGTAGGTGGTAGTGGACGATGGAAAGTCTGATCGTATCACGGTACATGGCGATGGCGAACTCATGTCTTCTCAGCATGCCATAACTGAGTTCCGAGTGCTTGAATCATCATCACATGGTTAGTTCAATTCAATAGTGACTTGTCTCTTATTTTCTTCATTAAATGAATTTATTCAGATTTCAGAATCAACTGCCCACAACTGACTTGGTTTGTTGGTTCATACCATAATCACCTAAAATTTCCAAAGTAATGTTAAATTTATCCCAAAGTGTGTAATAAGAATCTAGGGTAACACGCCCTTAGTTGAACTTTTTTTTTTTAATTTGAGTTTTCGTTTGGTTGTTCGATTCGAATGTAGGATACTCGTGGTTAGAGCTGTGCCCTCTTACGGGCCGAAAACATCAGGTATCCCTGTATTCATATTCTAATTTCGGTTTTTTCTGGTCCCATCCTTTTCACTTTCCTATACAAATTTTCCGCTAATTTTTTCGTTCTGAAACACTTTCCATCGCAACAGCTCCGTGTACACTGTGCAGAGGTACTAGGAACACCGATACTCGGGGACTTGAAGTATGGATGGCAATCTCATAGAACCCGAAAGCATTTGTCTTCTTCCCCCGAAAGCAGCGAGAAAACCGCAGCCAAGATGTTTCCTTTTGGCTTAAACCTTGAAGGAGGGGACATATCTTCGAAGCAGCCTCACCTTCACCTCCATTCCAAGGAAATCGTTCTGCCAGACATTTCCGAGCTCTTGGAGAAACTCGAGGTTTGTTCCGATTACGATCCCTCGGGTCTTAAAAGCCTTAAATTTGACGCCCCTTTGCCGACGCATATGCAAATAAGTCGGGACATATTGAAATCTCAAGGTGCCATGTGAGAACAGTTACTGATATACCCCCACCTCTGTACTTGTGCCCTGTTTTCGCCCCCTCTTCCTGTATTAGGTATATCAGTTTCTACTAATATACCGAAAGAAATATATTGTATGAATCAATTTGGATATTTGGACCATAAATCCAATTTTTTATTACTACTACTACTATTATTATTATTATTATAAGCTTTGCATAATTACATTTTTAATGTTATATATATATATATATAGGAAAATACATTAACCCTGATACGGTAATGGAATATTTACAATAATATCCCTAATATGTTTTCTCAAGATGAGTCTGATCTTGACAAACAAATTCTGAAACCTTGGGCAAGATACGTCTCTTTTGTGAGAAGATCAGCAAGCAAGTTGATCAACTGGCGAAATATTTGAGACACGAAGTTCACCCTCTTATTTGTTCTCGAACGAAGTGATAATCCAATGTCAAGTGTTTCATTCGAGAGTGGAACACAGGATTAATGCAAAGATAAGTTGCTTCCACGTTGTGGAGGATGCAAAAGGGTGACACCAAATTTCTTGAGGAGATGGAGTGTCCAACGAACTTCAACCGAGGTAGCAACAACGGAACGATACTTTGCTTTAGTCGAGGAACAAGCAACAAGTTCTTTAGACAATAGAAATGTGTTGGTGGATGGTAGAGTCATCGCAATCGTCTTTCCAATCTGCATCGCTGAAGGCGTGAAGTAAAAAAACAGTAGAGGTTGACAAAAAGATATATTGAGCCAACCAAATAACGAAGGACATGTTTGGCGGCTTACCAATGATCCGAGGTGTGAGCATGCATGAATTGGGATAGGGATTGACAACAAAACCGATATCCAGATGAGTGAGAGAGAGAGAGAACTCAAGAGCGGAACCCGAGTCACGTGTGAGGCGACTGGTAGACGCCATCAGAGTGGAAACCGGTTTGGCATCAAGCATATTAACTCGTTGGAGCATATCACTGGTATATTTCCGTTGAGTTAAAAGTTGGCCTTGTGATTTGGAGTTACAACGATGCTTACATTGATGGCAAACCCACTCAAGGTGGCTTCGCCGACGCCACCAGAAGTAAGCTTCACCAATGGCCGAGGTATTTGTTGTTTGGTTTTGGATCCTGTTCTCTTTAAAATTGTTTGGTTTGTTCAAAAATTAAATTCGATTTGAATTGGGTAACAAAATGTCGGTTTGGTATTAAGTTTAATTGATTTTGGCTTTCTCTAATTAGAAGTCGGTAACTCTCTCAATGATTGTTATTTGCATCCAGAGTTAGCGACTCTTGTTTTGTTTTGGGTTTGGTTTGTTAAAAGTCTAACCGGATTTAGTCTGATTTAAATTCGATTGCATTGGGTAACGCAATTTCGGGTTGGTCCGTTTGGTACGAATCTTGTTGAATTCGGTTTATATACTTGAGAAGTAGGTATTCCACTGACCCGATTGGATGTTTTTTTCCTCTTCTCTTGATATAATATGATATCAATTCAACCGATATGTAAATTAATTAGAGATGTTCCATTTAAATAAAAAGAAATTAGGTTTTGTTCTTTTTTTCCTCAACCTTGTTCAAAATGGTTTCTCAGGTCACAGGAAGGACAGATAAGTTTCTTCCCTCTCAAGAAATTAACTTATCCCCTCACATTTCTTTCAACCTTTAAAGGTAATTCACAACCGAACCATAACGAAGTGATAAATACGGTATTCTGAACCGTCTAAAATTTTTGAATGATATTATTTTTATAAAATCAAACCGAACGAAAATTTAAAAATATTGAAAAATCAAATATTTCTTAAAAAGATCTATTTTTTTAAAATAAAAATAAGAACTAAAATCGAACCGAACCTGTGACACCCGAAACCCGTATCCCGCAATACGAGTTGCGCCACATGGACAAATAAAATAAAAATTGCATTTCCAAAAACCCGCGGGAATTTAAAACTTTTATTTTCAGAGTTCAGCGGAAGAAAACATTCATATATACATATACGGTACATTATTCCAGTTATAATTATACATAAAAAGTGGTAGTATCACATTATTACAAACCGTAAAAGTCTACCACCGATATAACACAAAACCGTTCCCACATAAACGTAAATGTACCGTAGAGAATAATTATACATGATCACACGACAGGTCACCCAAGTCTCTAACGTCCGCCGCTCCTCAGCTACTGCTGCTCACGACCTGAAACGTTGCGTAACAACGTCCTAAGCTAATTGCTTAGAGAGTGAACTCGGACGTAACCCGGAGTTCCATTCTCATGGTGCCAGGGAAAGCACAAACATATACATATATATGTGTGTATATACTAGTATTATAATAAACATGAATTGAAAACATGAATCACTGTAAGCACGCAGCAATCACAATCAAGTCCGTACGACAAGTCGGCCGTACGACAAGTCGCAGGACAGAGTCCGTCAAATCGTCTCTACGCGCACTATGCGTAGGTATGTATTCCCCATGTGCATAGCACAACCACCTCTCTCCTCGGAATCCATCTACTCCGCACACACTCGGAATCCGGTATACGTATCTTTTTATTTTCTCCGCCCGAACACATCACCCCAGCCTAGCATCGATGGCACCTCTCGATGCTAGGCGTGTCCCCACTCCGGCATTGATGTCACCTGCGACCCCGTCGACTATAACGAGAGAGCCAATCGCTGCAACTCTCCCTTGCCGACCATCCGCCGCGGAAATACTTGTCAGGTTCGGGCCCGAACCTGGCAGAGTAAGCCCGTACCACCTCCTCGGGGGACCACAATCCACCCGAATCTCAGGTATATGTATTGCCTCATCCTCGGGAGACTCATCTCCCGGAATCCGCTCCGTCGCTAACGGATACGGTGGCGG